CTCTGCTCGTACGCCACATCTTTCATTCTCATTCATTAATTTCTCAGCGCTCATGCTCGTTACTCGAAAGCGTACTCCCGTGCCCGCGGCGCGCGCACACACGTGTGCGAATGAGCTGCAGCACTTTGGGGAAAGACACGTCTCACACATTTCTCTCATTGCTATGATACAAACAAGGTCTTCCATGCTCTATCTGTTAGCTACAGTAGCTGTTAGCTACAGTAGCAAAATGTAAACAGGAAACTTAACTCGCACAACGCGGTGGTCACTGAAGTTAGTATTAGCGCACAGCACAGTTGCTCTGGAACGTTGAAAAAACAATCATGAAAACCCAAGGAGGAGGCTTTTGTAAAAGACTTTCTCTGTTATAACAATTGTATTATGAGTAATCATTAGTTTTAAAAATGTAAATTTTATGTAAATAATACGATTGATATATTTGCCATGGCCCTCGTTTGTGCATTTTAAAGTAGTACTAGAATTTACCATACTGCTATCCAGAATATATAACTACAATATGTGTTTATAATATTTTGGGTGTTCATTTTGACATGTTCAGATGAGTCATGTTAAAAAAACGGCTTTGAAGTCGCACTTTTCCACAAACCCTAGGGTGCGCCAAATCTGTATGAGCAGCGAGTTAATAGATGATGTTTGGGGAAGAATCGGAGGTTTCACTGTCATCTGTTCAAGGTATAAACATATTTTCATCAGTTTTGTACATAATAGTGTGCAACTCTTTTAACCTTTTAGCCTTATATGTGAGATTCAAGCTAATTACTTGGCCTAACGGTCCCCGGTGTTGGGCAAGTTAGCTAGCAATTACTTGAAATCAAGATATCCTAAAACATGCTTACAAGGCTAATATTCGTTTTTACATTATGCCAGTCTCACTTTGGTTGCCTTAGATTTATTTACCACAATGTACATTGTTTATTTAATGATTGCATCACATGTATCATGTTAGCTCTTGTGTCTATGTTTTCAACTTCATCAGCTTTTTGTTCATAAAAGTAAAATATTTATTTAATTAAAGTTATTTTGATTAGCTTTTTTGGATATTACAATGTACATTGTGGTAAATAAATCAAAGGCAACCAAAGTGAGACTGGCATAATGTAAAAACGAATATAAGCCTTGTAAGAATGTTTTAGGATATATTGATTTCAAGTAGCTAACTTGCCCAACACTAATTAGCTTGAATCTCACAAATAAGGCTAAAAGGTAAAAGAGTTTCACACTATTATGTACAAAACCGATGAAAATATGTTTATACCTTTTACAGATGACAGTGAAACCTCCGATTCTTCCCCAAACATTATCTATTAACTCGCTGCTCATACAGATTCCAGCCATGACGGCTGTGAAGGATCATTCTCCTACGTCATCGCTGCAATTTTGGCGCCCCCTAGCGTTTGTGGAAAAGTGCGACTTCAAAGCCGTTTTTTAACATAATTCATCTGATGTCAAAATGAACACCCGAAATATTGTAAACACATATTGTAGTTATATATTCTGGATAGCAGTAGGGTAAATTCTAGTACCACTTTAAGTTATTTTGAAGGTGCATTGTGTCACTGTAAGTGAAGTTATTAGAAAACTGATAAGCTACATTTTCACTGTTTACAATGGCAGGGCCATCTCATTTACAAGCATGTTATAAGGCTTATTTCCTGTTACACTTATGCTCCATGGGGAAATTTATACTGCATTAAGGAAAATATATTTCTTGGTCAGTTGTAGTTTGTTTTTATATAGATAAAAATAATCGATTAAAATTGAAAATCTGATTTGGTGTGAAAAAATCTGAGATTTTTTTTTCTAGCCATATCTCCCAGCCTTAGTGTCTACAATCCAAGCAGGAGACATCACTGTAACCAAGTTTGGGTCAAATGGAGAATGGGTTGAACTTATTTTTGATTACAGCCTCACTGCTAATTTACACAGGAGGCGTTACAGCACATACAGCACGTAACATTTTTACATGTTAACCAATGGGGATATTTACACTACTAGTGCTATACGCGCGTATGACGAACGTATGACGCAAGGCTGTGCCTAATTAAGGATGGATTTCTAATTTTGTGCACGCAGCAACACGTCTCCCAGTCAAAACACATAGGAAGCATGATTCTAGCGGTCCTTGGCTCTAGATTGCACCCATACACACGCACGCAGGAGCAGCAGGTTTTACAGTGATTCTGGACATTGATTTTTTTTCCATTCATAAAGTGCCAAACCAGCACACAGAGATCGTGAAGGCAAACACATGCATGTGATCTGTGTTGCTCTACATCAGTCCTCTGGCACTTCATCGACTACACAGGGACAGTTTCAAAAGCCGTCGACCTGGGCGCATGGCCAATGGGTATACAGCCGAGTAATGTTTCAGACTTCTAAGTTTTATAGTTTTTATGGAGTTTCTCTTTTTCATCAAGTAGTGCCATTCAGAACCAATTTGGAGTCAACGCTTACGCGCTGTTGACGCCTACTGTGTAAATTAGCGGTTAGTTTCCATTAATCTTTGCCACCCAAACAGGGACTCTCCAGCTAAAACCATCTATAAACTGTAGTTTGTGTCTGGAAGCACTTACAATTTTGCTCACCTTATGCAGCTGTCATAATCGGGGTTCTTCAGGAACATGCACATCTGTCATGTCTGGACCTGGCTCCTGTCCTTACAGAGGACATGTCTGAGACTCCTGTCCTTACAGAGGAGATGGAGAAGTCAGCACTTTATTGATCACACAGTGGCATATTTTCAACTGTCAGCTGTTGATAAAGTTGTTTTACTATTATAGTATTTTCATTCAAAAACAAGAAAGGAGCCTGCATGCTGTCTTATTTGAACGGCTTTACACATATACATTTGACCATGCAAGTAAGGCAGTGTAGGATCTTTTTAATGCATTGAACACTATTCAGAGGCTCATACACTTTTGAATTAACTTAATAAGCAGAGCATTTATTTGAGGAATCTCTTTTGTCAATTACATCACATGTACAGTTATATGTCTATGATCAAACATACCATACCTACAGTCTGTAGTATTCCCATGGTCGGTGCGGTGTCCATCTTACATGTGCTTTGTATGCAGTAATTTCAAAGTATTTACCCTTTCTCCCACATTGTGATTATGTGGTTTCTTTATTCCTTTTAAATAACAAGATAGACAGTTAATCTTCAATCTTCATGTCTTCTATTATTATTAATTCAACAGAGGTGAAAGTATTATAGTACTCCCCCCCATATAAACAAATACAAAATCGGTAATATTGCTTCACTTAACCTTGCACTCAAAGTTATACACGAACGAAGCATGTTATTATATTACGTTTTTAAATCACAAACACGAGCAGGAGCTTGTGCGCTACCAACCCTTCTATCCATGTCATGCTGAATAATAGATTGAGGCAACGCATTTTCGCTCATAAACGTGCAATCATTTGGAGAAATATACCTTATATTACATTGCAAATGATGCATTGAGAGCAATCATTTCACATCTTTCAAATCTTGATATAAAACAAAAACTTACCACGGAGGAAGATACATGTGTAGAAAGTGCCCACCAAACGTTAGCTGCGAGCGCTAAAGCTAACAGTGTCAACAAGGACGAGTTTGACAAAAAGGTGGAGGTGTCCGACTCAGGGTACACTCCCGTTAGATGAATGTGTCTGACAGAAAACATGTCCAGGGTTTGTGGAGGGGAAACAACCGAAATAATAGGACAACAGAGTCCGACAAACAACTAGCATTAGCCTCCGCCTAGGAATTAAAACCAAAGTCCTTCCACAGGTTTGGATGCGTTTTTCATATTTCATGACTACAGTCATGTTAGTCGTGCATAAATGACACTTGAAGCCTTGTACTCACCTCTGTTTCTCCGCACTATGGATATATGATGCTCGACCATAGACCATAGACATATGTGCTCGCAATACAGTCTTTGGCGCTCGCACGCGTTTACGTCATAGACTGTTGTTTACTTCGTTTTTATTTTTTTGCAACCAGCTAAAGGAGCATTACCGCCTCCTACTGTTCTGGAGTACGAGTCAAAAAGTAAACTAAACAGGCTAAGGCCCAGTCCCAATACCCACACTGCACCCTACGCCCTCCTATGAAGTGTGCATTTGTTTGAAGTGCGCGCAAGGGTTTGAGTGCGCAGGTTGCAAGTGTGCACAAAAGGCAGAATTGGGACAGTGCACACTGAGTGCAGGTGACGTCATCGACTCGTCAGAGATGGTCATTTTCAGACCTAAACTTTATAAAAATTAAAGGTAATTTTGTCTGACCCTTTGGGAAACAAATTGAATTGCTTCACACACGTTAAAATACATGTATATTAGTGGTTTTTAATTAGAGATAGCTGTATAATTTTAAGTTAAATGTGGGTAACTAACTATCTGGTCCGTTTTTATACATTCTAAGATTATTGTACTAAGTGTAAAGTTTAAATTGAATGTTATATGAACTCTTGCTTTAAAAAGTTATTAAATTGTTAAAACACAATGTCCGTAATTCTTCATCAGACGTTTATGCTTCTTTCCAAGTAACATAGCAAAACTTATTTACACACATACTGCATATATATTTCAAAATGTATATTTAAATGCATTTTCCTGACGTTTTGGTGTGTACCGCAAAGAATTATGGGCAATATCCTTCGCCAGAGTGCGCATAGATGCCAAGCCCCGGCGATCCAAGATGGCGCCCTATTCAAATGAATGGTTGTGCTCAGTGGCGCTTTGTGACGGCATGGGGGCTGAAAAGATTAGCGGAAGTTGCCTGAAACTCGAAAGATGGCGCTGCTGTGATCGGTTGGTGTTTTCCGAGCTGAGGAAAGAACCCTGGACAAATCTCACAAATGACTGGTAAAGTCCTTCAGGGTTGCTAAACGGACATTTTAACGTATGTAGAACAAGGAAAGAACTTTATATCACACCACGCAGTTTAAATTTAAGTCAGCAACAGTCAAAAGAAGCTAACGGTAGGCAAGATGCAAGCCCCGATTCCCGCCACTGAGGAGTCCGTCGTATCCACGGACATGGATATTGAAATTGTGAGAGAAAAACGGCACCTGGAAGTCACCCACTCGTATGCCTGTAACTCCAAAAACAACGGTGAATGTGACTCTGGTCCAGAAACACTGACTAAAACCGGCACCTCGAAGAAGAAAGCAAAGGTGAACATGGAAAACGAGCCGCAGTTGTCACTACTTGAAGTGCAGGAGAACATAATTCGTGTTCTTACTTTGAAGACAGACGAAATCAACAACCACATGAACGACATCAAGAAACTTGTGAACAAAAACACTATGGAGATTGAAGGCTTAAAAAAGTCTGCTGACTACTGCTTTCTGGAAGTTGCTGACCTGAAAACAGAAAATACCGCTCTCAAGAGTAGATGCCAAGCTCTGGAGGGTAAAATGCAAGAAATGGAGAAGAAAGTCAACGAGATGGATGCTTACAGCAGAAGGATGAATTTGAAAATGTATGGCATTTCTGAAAGTCAGGGGAAGATATTCGCTCTAAAGTCGCGAACATTTTATCTGCTGTACTGCCAGACAAAAGCAAAGTGGAGGCTGCAGTGGATGTTGTTCATCGTCTTGGGCGACACAGTGACGTGAATGGCGGGAACACTACAAAACCAAGGCCAGTCATAATCAGATTCTCCAAACGGGATACAAGGGATGCAATCTGGAGCGCATCAAGGAATCACGGCTACCTCAAAGCACACCGCCTGTGGTTCAAGCAGGATTTGACAACAGTCGAAAAGGAGAAGCGAAAGCAGCTATGGCCAATTGTGGATAAGGCAAGGAAGGAGGGCAAGGTTGCTTACTTCGTGGGATCTCGTGCTTTCGTGGACAAGAAAGAAGTTTTTGCTGACTGAAACTGCATCTATTCCAACAGAAGATGAGTATATTCTTCCCACAGGAATGTTCAAAGATGTATAAAGCAACTCAAAGTTAATCTGAGTGAGTTGTCTGTTCTGATTTGTAGCTGGTTTGTTTATGTTTATTTCATTGTTCTCTTGTAATGCCAGGGGCTTATGTAATATGTTGAAGTGGAAGTCAGTATTTTTGTATTGTTCAAACAAACGCTCTGATTTTTACTTTGTTCAGGAAACACATTCAAATGTTGAAGATGTTAAATTTTGGAGGAGTCAGTGGGGTAAAGATATTTGGTTCTCGCATGGAAATAACAAGTCTGCAGGAGTAGCTATTTTACTCAGTTCAAAGGACAAATTATTACCTCTGAAAAAGATGATGAAGGTAGATGGATCATTTTGGTTGTAGAAATAGCTGATACACATTTCATACTAATTCATATTTATGCCAGCAACAATAAACTGCAAAATTCTGCCATTTTTTTAAATATTGAAATGAAAATTAATCAGTATTTATGCACATTTCCATTTGCTAAAATAATCTGGGGAGGAGATTTTAATACATCACTAAATGACGCAGTTGACAGATTTCCACCCAAACCAAATAACGTAGGTAATGACTTGCACAATCTATGTTTAAGACTTGAGCTGATAGACATATGGAGAAAAAATAATCCAGATGAAAAAATATTTACACGGAGTAATTCTAGTTTCTCTCAACAATCGAGAATTGCTTATTGGTTGATTTCTAGTGATATAGGTGAAAAGGTTCAAAATGTTTGCATTGACCCCTTTGTTTTATCTGATCACAGAGCTATCTCTATAAAGATAAATTTAAGTAATGTTTGTTATGATAAAATATCAAACAATTATTGGAAATTTAACAAATGTCTACTAGAAGATGAAAACTTTATAAGGGAAACCAAAGATATCATTAAAAAAATTCTGGAGGCAAGCATGCGCAAATAAAAATGTAGGTCTTAGTTGGGAATTGATGAAATTTGAAATAAGAAAACTGGCTATACGCATGAGTAAAATGATAGCTAGAAGGAGACAAAAATCAGAACTAGAAATCGTTACAAAAATAATACATCTCTCCAAACAAAAACAATTATCTCCGCAAGATGCTATGGAATTGTCTAAATTGCAAATTCATTTAGACAACATTTACGAATCTAAAGCTAAAGGTGCCTTCATAAGGTCAAGACTTAGATAGATGGAATATGATGAAAAAAATTCTAAATATTTCTTTAACTTGGAGAAGAGGAGGAAGGAAATGTCTTCAATAAAAAAGCTTATTATCAAGGATACAACAACAGAAGATCCTGCAATTATATCAAAATATTTAGTGGACTTCTATCAAAATCTATACTCTTCTTCTAATCCATGCTTAAATGATATTCAAACATTTCTAAATACAATATCTCATAAAGTTAAGAGAATTGATGCCAATTTTAAAATAGTATGTGATGATCCATTTTCTCTGGGAGAAATTGAAAATTGTATTAACAACCTTAAGGATAACCGGGCTCCAGGAAATGATGGCTTAACCACAGAATTATATAAGTTTTTTAGTGATCTTTTAGCACCCTTTATTCTTCTTTTATTTCAAGAAGCCGTAAAGGAGCAGGAATTTCCTGCATCCCTTAAGCAAGGTGTAATCACCCTCATACCCAAACCTAGTAAAAACAAATTACATATTGACAACTGGAGACCCATCACCTTATTAAACAATGACTGTAAAATGTTCTCCCTTATTCTTGCCAAAAGGTTAAAAACTGGACTTGAAGATATAATAGATGAGGAACAATCAGGATTTATGCCGGGTAGAAATATTCATAACAATATCGGGCTTATACTGCGCATGATTGACTATAATTACCTGATACCAACTGAGAGTTTCATACTATTTATTGACTATTATAAAGCCTTTGACACTGTCGAACACATTTTTTTGTTCAAGGTAATGGAATTTTTAGGTTTTGGTCCAAATTTCTTGAAAGCAGTTCAAACACTGTACAATGGCTGCAACAGCTCAATAAAATTACATTATGGTACTACGCAAAGATTTCAACTTCACCGTGGTTTGAAACAGGGCTGCCAGTGTTCTCCCTTTTTATTCCTTTTAGTAGCACAAATGTTGGCTTCATATATCAAAATGGATCATTTTAGAGGTATTTCAACTTTAGGTACTGAATTTAAAATTTGTCAACTAGCCGACGACACTTCATTGTTTCTAAAGGATAAAGAAGAAGTCTCAAAAGCTGTGCAATGTGTTAGTCAATTTTGTCATGTCTCTGGCCTAAAAATAAATCTTAAAAAATCTGTTCTCTTCCCACTCAAAGAGTGCAGACTGACCCATGTCGATGGAATTGAAGTCAAAGAAACTGTTACCTATTTAGGCATAACAATTTGTAAAGATGAAAAGTTACGAACCAAACTTAATTTTGACCCAATAATAAGCAATACTCAAAATAGATTCAATTTATGGTTATCACGTGATTTATCTTTACATGGGAGAGTGCTCTTGTCTAAAGCTGAGGGCATATCTAGATCAGTTTATGCCTCACTCTCCTTGGAAATGCCCATCGAAATATCAAAATCACTAAACTCGCATATGTATAACTTTATATGGAGGAATAAACCACATTATCTCAGGAAGGAAATTTTAACAAACAGTAAAAATAAAGGTGGTTTAGAAGTGTTGGATTATGATTCATTAAACAAAAGCTTCAAAGTCAACTGGATTATTAAATTAATAAAAAACAAAAAAAAAAGTATATGTAATATTTTCCCTGATTTTATTTTCAAGAATGTGGGAGGAATTGAATTTCTTCTCAAATGCAACTATTCTGTTAATAAACTACCTATTAAACTGGCAAATTTTCACAGACAAGCATTCTTGGCATGGACTTTAGCATTTAAACATAATTTTTCACCACACAGATATTATATCTGGAATAATCAAGATATTCAGTTTAAACATAAATCTCTTTTTATTCAAAGGTGGTTTGATTGTAACATCTTTCTTGTAAAGCAACTAACCAATGAGAATGGTATATTACTATCTTATGATGAATTTCTCCAAAAATACGATCTGCCTGTCACGCCTAAGGAATATGCTGTGGTGTTTGATGCCATCCCACAAGGTGCTCTACTGCTTCTCAAAGACTGTTCCAAAGACACTACTTGTAATACCAACATAGGACAATGGAGAGATGGCATTTTTCTGGGGGACATAGACATTCTCAACAAAAGATGCAGAAACAAGGACATACGAAATATTATTGTTGGAAACACTACTCCTCCATCTCAACATGTCTGGGTGTCTCTATATGGCAGTGTCAATTGGAAGAAAGCATGGAACGTCACAAACACATACTGCCTAACCAACAATATAAAGGAGGTGTCTTTTAAGATTCTTCACAGAATATACCCCGCAAAACATGTTCTGGAACGGTTTAAACTGAACATTGACTTTTCGTGCGTTTTCTGTGGACTACACAAGGAAACAATTATTCACTTGTTTTTTGAATGCATATTTTGGATTGATGTTCAAAACTATCTCTACCGGAAAATTGGACAACTAATTATTTTAAATGCCAAAGATGTATGTATCTATTTTGATCAAAAAATGGATAGAGATGTGAAATTTGTTATTCAGCTTTATATTTTAATGGGAAAATATCACCTACATAAAATGAAATGGGCTGACAAAAAACCAAACTTCTATACTTTTCTTGCAGACATGAACCTATATATTTCTACTATTAATTCAATACAAAATAAAAAAGCAGGTAAAACAATGTATATACTAGAAAAGTCTTACTCCTGGCTCCTCTTAATATTTTTGGTATGAATGTTGTTTTTAATGAATTATCTTCCTCTGGTGTAATGTATGTAATGTATCCCCTGGCACTATTTCCTCATTGTTGTAACTACATGTATAAACGTTAATAAAAATAAAATAAAAAAAAAGTTGCCTGAAACTCGCAAAGAACTTTGGGAAACTCGCAAAGATCTATGGGAAACTCATAATAATATAATCAATAAATTTATAATGAAAAAAACATCCTTTTTATGCCTTCTAAAAAAACAAAAGATCACATTTTCCCATTTTAAAGAAAAGTCTTTATAAATATGGTCAATGATGAATCTACTGAAGTCCTTCCAGAATGATGTGGTGTGAGAGCAGATCCAAAACATGTGCTGAACAGTCTCCGGGTGGGTTTCACAAAAGCTACATTTCACATCAATGTCTCTTTTAAATTTTGTCATAGTGATTTGCTGGGCAATATTTACGAATCATTTTAAATGAAACTTCCTTTACCTTATTAGTTATACAAAATGTGTTCCAAATGATTCTCCAATTGAGGTCCGCCACAAAATTACTCCAATAAAAAACAACATATGGAATAGTCGTAAGGGTATTGTGAAACAATCTACGTACATTTCTATTACTCTTTTTGTGAGACATTAGGCTTTCCCATTTCCGTTTCTAAAATATTGGGAACAGAAACAGGCCGTGAGTTTGATTCAACACTTTGAAATAACATTTTCACGCCTGAAGGTACAACCTTCACAAGTGTTGCATGTTCTGTAGGTGTAGCTGGGAATTTATAAGTGTTTAAGAATTCAAAATATGACATAAGCTGCCCATTACTGTTGAACAGTTGACTCACCAAAATTATCTGTTTCTCAACCCATTTAGAAAAGAATAATGACTTATTTTTATGAGTG